GCCGGTCAGATCCACTGGATGGGGAAGCGAGGTGCAAAAATGAACGGTCGGTTTTTCGCTTCCTTAAATGCGGCTGCAGGACCTAGGCGGTGTTAAAAAAAAAAAAAAAGATCGCTTTCCGGCGTCCGCGATTCACCATGGGGAGGACTTAGCGAGAAGTCGGCTTGGTGCTGGTAGTTTCGCCCTGTTGCAGACTTTTCCAGGACAGGAAGGAAGGAAGAGGGGAGGGGAAGCGGACTTGAGCACAGGAGCTGCTGGGCCATACAACAGGCTCGCAAGTGAACCAAAACAGAAAGGTCCTCTCTTTTCCCGCACGTCAGCCCGCCGGAGCCACCAGAACCGTGGCGTAGGGAAATCGGGAGTACACTTTCATAACGGTTTCAGGTTTAGCATTAATTAACTATCGGGTTTTTTTTTTTTGCTGTTGTGAAAGAAACGGGGAGGGGGTGGGGGTGGAGGAGAACTTGACACGCGTTGCGCTGCGCGGCGTCGGCGACAGTTTTTCGGCTCTTGAAGTTTCGGGGCTTTCAGCTGAAGGGAGACTTGAAAAGACGGTGCCGCCCTCATGGCAGCAGAAGTTACTGAGACTGAAGCAGGGGCAACCGGCGATACGGGCTTCAACGCAAGCAGCTCAGGCGCAGACACACCCAGGTTAGTGGAGAAGGTGGAGAACAGGCCGGCGGCTCCGGCTCCGGCTCCGGGGGAAGACGCGCCGCAGAGCGGGTCGGCACCTCCATCGGAGACTGCCGAGGGCGCAGCTCCGCGGACTCCAACCAAAACAGGAGGTCCGACACAGGAAGCCGGGACTCCAGACAATGGACGAAAACAAGAGCCGGCGGGGGTGCGAACTTCGACTCCAGTTAGTCACAGCCTGCCATCTCCAACAGCACACAATGGAAGGTGAGGGTGAGGGGAACAGCTTAGTTGTTTTTTTTTTTTGGGTGCGCCAGGTTTTACAATTTAAAAGGGGGGGAGAGGGGAGTTGGTTTTCAGTGTCTAGTCGGATTATTCACATTGACGTTAGTTTTAACGAAAGCTTAACGTGTTTCAGTTGGGTCTTATAACAGTGAGTTTAAATGCATAAAATTCTCTAATGCAAAACGTGTCGTGTACAGTTATACAAACGATGCAAAAAATGCAAGCCATGTACATTATAGGGTTTCACCTGTGTTTGTTGCAGGACGTGTCACTTGATGCCTACAGGCGCTAGGCTCTTTATCTCTGCTTTACCATGATATTTCGTATCAGCAAATACACTTAAAGATACACCATGCTGGTAAAGTTGGTTGCATTGAAACATCCAAGTTTTACTGGATTCATTGCTGTTGAATCCGTATCAATCAAAGTTAACTAAAAGTTTTTTTTTCCTGTGACGTTTGCGCGATAAAGTCCACACGATCAAGAGAAAAGAACGATGAAAACACCTGAGAATAACCTGAAATACCGCAGAGCAATAACACTGATTTTTAGCACTAGGTTATATATATATTTTCTGCAGCATTTTACCAGTGTTACGACTTTGGACATACTGATCAGTAAGAGAGGATTTCTAATAAAGTGGCAGTGTTAAAGCAGTTCGTTCACACACCTGCTGTTCTGTTCTTTCAGAATTCCTTTCAAAGACTCCTTTTTCTTCACAGATGAGCCT